AATTCAACAAAAACTTAGTAATATGGTCACTTATCTTACACATCTAACACACGTACAGTTGCATCTTTTAGAGCACTTTCTTTTCTTCTCTTTTTTACAATAACATTTATACATTTTGGGTTTTATTACTCTCACAGTCCTTATTACTATTTTTGGAAGAGAACAAATGTGACAAAACAAAGCAGAGTCAGTCAAAGCAAAGGATGGACATAGTACATGATGTAAAAACATAATACAAGGTAATCAACAATGTCCCTTGCTACCTTAAAAAGAATTGCCTATATCATCAGGTATAATAAAATTGAACAAAACAGTACAGCACAAAACCAATAAAACCTAAACATTGGAGACATTACTGAATTTCAAAAGAAGATAATAGTCAAACCAGAGTGGGCATCATAGTGAATCTTATTGCCTTCAATGTAGTTGCATATACCCTCAAAATTGATAATATCAAACAGAACAGAATAGAGTACAATCACTCAAAACAAGATGGTGAGAGCAATACAGGGCTTCAAATCGAGTTAATAGGAAATCAAAGTGGGTTACTATAATATATCCTGCTAATTTTTTAAAAAATATTTTCCCTTAATTAAAAAATGATAATAATAGATAAATTTTAAAAAGAGAAGGGAGATTGAGATAAAAGAGGACATAACAACATAACAATACAGGTCAGAACAGAACAATTTAAGCAACATAGTGTTTCACCACAAGATAACCTGACTTAATAGTAGTTACCATGGTGTCTCTTTCCTTGAAATATTTGAGTATAACTTCATATATGATAGCATCAAACATATAAAGACAGTGTGAAACCATTCAAGAGGATGAAAGTATTACAAGGTATTTAGAACCAGCTAACAGAAAATGAACAATGGTTTCTATATTATCTCTTTGCCTACAAAAAGTTTGTTCATACTATCACATATAATAAAATCCAAAAAGATACAACATGATCAAAGCAATGAAAAACAACTATTTGATGGGATTTCAAAACAAGATGATACTAAATCAGCACTAGCTATTATGATGTCTTGTTTTCTGCAAAATAGCTGTTCATATCATCACAGACAATAATATCAGGTATTTTCATACAATGGAGTATTACCTGGCTATAAAAAAGATAAATTTGAGGCTTTTATAGGTGGATGGATACAATCAGAGACCATACATATAAGTGAAATAAATCAGACTTGCATGTGTAAATATTATTATTGTCTCCATAACGTAAGAAACTCAAAAAATTAAATGAAATTCAAAACATCAATAAATACTGTGAAAGAGGAAGAGGCTGCTCGAAAGTGAAGAACAACTGAGATGGCAGAAAGGATAAAAGAAGAAAGGGGAAAACATACAAATATACACCAGACAGCTTAGACAGTTGTACGACCAATCCTATCAGTACATTAAGGAACAGTTAGTGCTTATATTGATTGATCAGTTTGCTATGCCTATATCTGATAATCTGAGCAACTGTTTTGAAGACAACAATATGCGATACCATAACCATTGTTATTTTCCTATTATCTTGTTATGAAATTTTATTGTTTTTTATTCACTTTATAATAAAATATTTTAAAAAGTGAAAAAAGGAAAGTGGACTGAAAGACACAATTAACTGCGAATCTAACATAAATTTTTCAATGAATTCTGTAGATACCTTTGTATGTAATGAATTCAAGTGTCTTAAAAAGAAGAAATCAAAATATAACAGTAAAGCTGAAACATTTATGCTGCATTATTTATCTTACACGAGGAAGCAAGAGTGAGTAAAAATAGTACAGTTTGAATCTGAGAAAAATTGTACTGAATGTGCATTAATTCATGAATAAATATACATTAGAATCTCATAGGGAAATAGTTTCCAATCTGAAAATTACAAGAGACTATGCTTCCATGGATAAATGTGTATTTGTGTCAAATATGCTGCTGATGGTCTTAGTCAAGTAAAATGCTATTCAGAGATATTTTAGATTATGTGAGATAGGCAGGTTTGGAGATGTATGAGCCAGTGCCTACCACACAATGGCGGGGTTTAATAAAAATGAAAGTGCAAGGAGACTTTCTATGCCAGGATCACCTCAAAAGGTGTACCACTGCAAGATGCTGTGAGGTAGGTCTTCTTAGGCAAGCTTTTCTCTCAGAGAAACACATTTGGGCCTTGTGTTAAATTGTTTGTGATGACAGAGAAATTCTCTAGCAACTGTTTACAACCATAACCAACATGAAATCAGGGGTGTGTAATCACTTTCACTTTAAACCATCATCGCTTTTTAAGTTTTTATTTGTTCTTAGGGAAAGTGAAAGTCCTTTTTCATGTCAAAGAGTCACCACATTTTCAATGATCACTTTTTTATCTCTCTTCTCTCTGTCTCACTGTCCCTACCCACACTCTCTCCTGGATTATTCTTAACGTGACTTTTTCTCTTTTTTGGGGGGGGGGGTTCATTAAATAACTGAATCTTTTTCCTTATTGTAAGTGCCTACTGAATTGATTGCAAAAATTTACACTAGATTTAGGGCTGATTGTATCTGTCTCCTCATTTTTCTTTTACTAAATACAAATAAAATAAAACACGCTAAAATAGTAAACCACATTACACAGCCTGGACATAGAGATATAGCAGGTGACACAGGTAAACCAGCATGGAGGCTCTGCCCCACTTCGCAGATGCCTTGGGATGTCCATGTACCAGCTGGAAACACTCAGTTTGCTCTATGAAGGATGGGGCATAGAATACATAATATATTAAGATGTTGGTTAATAAAATAACCTGTCATAGTCATGGAATATTATGGTATTTCAGTTATTGAATTAAAATGATACTGAATACACAGTTTTAAATAATTAGGTACATCTAGAATTATGCATCCATATCAGTTTTATAGGCAGAAATACAAATATTTTAAGAAACTATTATATAAACAAAATATTAAAGAATATTGAATCATTTCATGATATAGTTTGAAATTTATGGTTTCAATATTTTTCTAATAAGTATGAGTTACTTATATGGCCAATTCATACTTTTAAGCATTGGTGACATTTTTGTATTCCATGCTGTATATTATAAATAAAGTATTAGAATATGTGTAGACATGTATGCCCCAACAACTTAGTCAAAAATTCTTGACTGAATACTTCAATACAAATGTTATTTTTTTCAAATCTGTATATTATATAACACTGTTAAAAGAAAATAAGTGAATTTCAGCAACAGTTTTAAGTATTACAAAAATAAGGGTGAATTGGATGTAAGTCTTCCAAGGCCTGAAATCTCTTTTGTGAATCTGTCCTTGAAATTTTGTCTTTGGAATCAGGCCAACCAACTGTCACTGGAAATGATGCCTTGAGGATGACCTAATGTTGCATCATACTGTGTACTGATTGTATGAGGCACCCTAGAGTTATGACCCGAAGAGGGAATTTGCACACTGTCCTGTTTATAGACACAGTCACACAGTTAGATACTTTTCAGATAAAACCTTTTTTTAAGATGTAACCTTGTGAAGGTACCATTTGACCGAGAGTTGAACTGAATACAATTTAACTCACAATAAAAATTGCATGCAAAAAGGCAAAAAAGTAAAATACATCAACAAGTGGGAATATATCAGAGAAATTTTCAGATGCTTATTTGTTTTTAATGCTTTATGTCTGAGAATAATTTCAGTTTAACAAGATTCTAAAGAGGCAAGCCTGGAGAAAAATTTTTCAGCAATATTTTTCTCAAAGTAAGTATCAATCTTCACATTAAATGATAGGAAGTAACACTTTGAAATTTTGAACAATGAAATCCTTGTCAAAAGAAATGGAGAACATGTATCATTTAGGTGCTACCTCTAGTAATGTTATGATTTATGATTTAGAATATAGAGTTGGTGGAATAAAAGTTTTAGCAAATTCAAAAATTTGAAACTGTATTTTTAAAAATAAATTTATTATTGAACAATCAGGTTGGGGGAAGATATTATTAACATATGGAAGGTCCATGCCTCCCCTTGTCTACACAGGAAGTGGTATACACTTCCTTGTGGTGGAAAGCCTAGGGCTCCTCAGAATTCCTGGGTTCAGTTACTTTTATCTCCAGAGTTCTCCATGCTCTCTTCCTCCTTGGTCCACACTAAACCAGACCCTGACCTCCTGGGCAGCTCTGCGGACTCCATTCAAGGGGACGCAGTGTTTTCCTGGGATGGCACCTCTTTTCTGTGCAGTCACCTGAGTAGAGGAGAGAACAGGGTAGACAGTGCCACTCTCAGCAGGAGGATGTGAGAAACAGCTTGTCTTTAACACAGGACTCATGTCCACAATTCATTCCAAATTAAATTTCAGTTTCAAGATTTTTAAGATGAATAATATGTGGAAGTAATCTTAATATGCCTTATTGTAATTCTCAGTAGTGAATTTAATTGATAATATCAAAGAGCTTTGAGAAGTATGGGACAGAAAATAACACATTAAAACTCAGTTTAAACTACTTTATTACATCTCCATCATTTTTGGTAAAACTCAAAAATATAATCAGGAAAAAAGATTTTGAAGGCATGATTTTGCAGTGAAAATATCTTGTTAAAGAAATATGCTAGCACGGAATTGGTCTTATTTCAGATATTACACTCTGTTCTCTGTATCTGTTCACTGACATAAATTATACAGATGTGCACTATTATCTAAGTAAGTTACCTTCATATGGCTTGAATATGTTGAACAATGAAAGCATTCACTGTAATACCAGGTTCATCCCTGTAACCTAGCCTGTATTTTTTTAATAAATGACCAGCAAATGTGAAATTATATCCATATATTATATATATCCATACATATATACATATGTACATGATAACTATATTTTTTCACTTGTACTCAGTAAAGTCCATATAATCTGTAGAAACATTAGTCTATTAATATTCTTCTGTTTTACACATGAAAATATTTTTGAAATCTCTGAGACTAAATATCAGACATGATTATTCAACAGCTAAGGACAGCACACACCATGAACAGACTGAACTCCAGCAATGTGCCTGACTTCATCCTCCTGGGGCTGGGGGATTCTGAAGAGACCAAGCTGGTCCTCTTCCTGCTCTTCCTCCTCATCTACCTGGTCACAGTGCTGGGAAATGCAGGGATGATACTGATCATTCACCTGGACCCCCAGCTTCACACCCCCATGTACTTTTTCCTCTCTCACCTGTCATTTCTGGACCTCAGCTACTCAAGTGTCATCACCCCTAGAACCTTACAGAACTTACTGACTTCCAGCAAGAGCATCTCATTCCTGGGCTGCTTCACTCAGCTGTACTTTTTTATAGTGTTTGGTGCTACCGAATGCTTTCTTCTCTCCTCCATGGCCTATGACCGGTATGTAGCAATCTGCAACCCTCTGCAATATCCAGTCATCATGTCCACAGGACTGTGCCATGGCCTGCTCACTGGCTCCTATGTTATTGGTATTATAGATTCTACTGCTACTGTGGTTTCTATGAGCAGACAGCATTTCTGCAACTCTAATGTCATCCATCATTTTTTCTGTGACACATCCCCAATTTTAGCCTTATCATGCAGTGACACTTACGAGGTTGAAATCACTTTGTTCATTTGTGCTGGTTCCACCCTAGTAGCTTCCCTCATCACCATTTCTGGATCCTATGTGTTCATTTTCTCCACTGTTCTGAAAATTAACTCCACTGCAGGAAAACAAAAAGCCTTCTCTACCTGTGCCTCTCATCTTCTTGGGGTCACCATATTTTACAGCACCATGATCTTTACTTATTTAAAACCAAAGGAGACCTACTCCTTAGGAAAGGATCAGGTGGCTTCTGTGTTTTACACGATTGTGATCCCCATGCTGAATCCTCTCATCTACAGTCTTAGAAACAAAGAGGTGAAAAATGCTATCATCAGAATCATGCAGAAGTTAGGAGGCTCCAAGCAATTAAACTAATAGTGGTTTTCAATATTTACATTTGTTCTTTCCTCTTTCCTTTTATGGAAATTCTTTTCTTACTTTCTGAAAATCAGTATATGTATCTGATTGTGTGTGTGTGTGTGTGTGTGTGTGTGTGTGTTCATGTGTTTGTGTTTTGATATTGTAGTGGAAAAAATTTATAATTGTTGTCTGCCTTTTGAAAGCTCCATCGTACTTTTGCATGCAGTGTACTGACTCTATTATAACTGCTCTTCTACTCATTGTGAAAATCTCTAGATAAACGTATCAGGAATGGCTGTAGTTGATTAATATTTTTTATTGGTCTTTATCATATGTACTTCATAGTGAAAGCACAAGAAGATACAGAGATTGAATGTTAGGTCTCTCTTTTCAGAATTCTCCACTCTCTTCCTTTGCACAGTGTCCTTGATCACCCTATGTTAATGTGCAGTGGATATTCCAGCATCTTTACTTTGTTTTTTTTTTTTTTGGTCTTAAATTTTTGCTCAGGATGAAATATTTCATGTGCTCCACATTGTCCTTATAGAAGTGTGCTGTGTATGGGATTAAAGTTTTGACTGAATGTGAAATGAGACCTAGTAGTGGCTCACAAAAATTGCATGCATTTTGTAGATAAACAGGATTTTTAAAAACAAGGTAGAGGAAAGTTCATTACAGTGTTTAACACTGTGTATGGAAATGAATATTCCTCAATCCTTTAAAACCTATACATTTCAGTAACTTCAAAGCTATCTCTTATATACAACTTACACTTAACACTGCAATAGCCTCTGCAGCATCTATAAACTGTGAGGGCTCCATCGCCTCAGCACAATTCAAACTCATCCCATTCAGTCATTTCTTATGCTGTTCCATGTTCTTTGCTCCTACCATGCTTTATTCTTCCTTTCATTTTTCTTTCTTTTATCACCTCTTCTTATTAGTGTCTCAAACCCAAGCACCGTTACTATATGTCTAAAATAATGCAATCAGTTAAAAAATCCAGCAGAAATTCTTGTTATGAAGTCTTTTAGAATTTTTTTCCTATGGTTTCTAAAACTGACATAAAGGAGATCATTAAAACTTTTTAAAGATGTCTTGTGGAATTTGAATAATAAAATTAGAAATTAAAAATATCTAGCAGCACTTTCACTTTTGCACTCTCACCAAGCTGAGAAGTAGGACCTGTGTAGACCCACATTTCAGGATCAAGTTCACACATCACTGGGAAGAGCTATGTAGGACTGATCAGAGTACCTGCACTTACAATTTTTCACTGTTTTCTCATTTGTGGTGAAAGGAGATAGCACATTATCTGTGCGTGTTACCACAGGAATTACTTTTATCAATTCATATAAAATATCATAATTTGCACTACATAATAAGCCACATGTAAGTATAAATTATTACTCGTATAAGGGAGGAATGCTTTCCCAATCATCCTAAAATTTCTAGCCTAAATAATTAAACTCTTAGAGAGTTTAACTAATGTGAGTGTAAAAACTGCCTTCATAAAATTTATATGATAGATACTAAAAATATCAAAGCAGAGGCAGGTTTCACATAATGGCTATTCTAGAATATTTCAAATGTGTTTTGTTCTTAAATGAATGTAAGAATAAATTAGTATGTAGCACATTACAATTGGGAAATTGATTAATCATTCTTCACTTCTTAGGCCTCTCCACATAGGCCTCTTCTAATCCTGAGATCTTCTTCCCATTTAACAACAAACTGCCTCCCTGCTTTGTACTATATCTACTCAATTTGTCTCATTAAGTTATTTGCATGTTGTGCGACTGACATAAACAAAATCATACAGTCCAGGATATTTATGTAAACCAACATATACATAGTTTTTTGAGGAGATAGAGGAATCATAAGAAGTCACTACATGATGGGAGGGCCATCACTTAGGTGAAACCCAGGTTCATTGGTTTCTAGGAAGACAAGCAAAGTACCAGAAGGAATCCACACACACACTGCATGAACAGTGAGTCAGTGTGGGGTGGGAGATTGTCACTGTTCATCTCCAGGAGAGACACTTCAGCAGTTTCTGTGACTCCAGACTGCTAAAGGAGAGAAAAATCACAAAGTGAGTGGAAACAATTCATTTCAGTTTGCAGAGGCTGTGGTTATATTTCCCAGTTTTATTTTTCTCTAGATTAGGTTAGCATGGGTCCATCACCCATCTGAGAAGTCTCCTTTCTGTCTCAGTAGAACAAGGAGGAAGGGTACTTGGGTACAACCCTTGCTAGGGGCCATCTACAGTGTCACTCACAAAGCAGGACTCAGAATGGTTGTTTCCACCCCTGGCAGAAAATAGATACCAACCTACATGATTATATCGTAAAAGACTGTCTTGCAATTCTGAAGTAGAAATAAAGGCTTTTTAAAATAGTTATTATCTAATTATATTTTTCCAATTGGACTTCAAGATCAATTTCACACAGATTGAGATGAGCACTGGGTATGGAGCAGAGTGGTGGCTTAGAAATACTGGTAAACTAGCACAAAGGAACATACGTATAGATTATAATGAGAAGAAAAAACAGAAAAGAATGAACCAAGTCATACTGAACAATCTAATTCCATAGGAACAAATATAACTCCTTCACTACCCACATTATTTAAAAGGGAATCACATCTTCCAGGTACATCATGATGTTTGAAATACAGTTTTGAAGCGTGCATGCACAGTATCTAACATTAAGAACATTATAGCTGCCTAATAGTGGATCTAAACTCTGATCAAAACTCACAATCAAAAATGATAAAATAGAATTTTAAGATATTAGATAGAAAAGTTCATGCTGTGGTGAATATAAAGGAATTATTTTCAACACAACACTAAACGAGTTGTGCAGAATGAGATAGTATTACATTGAGTTTAGTACAGTGTCATTACTTCACACTCTTTGTATTGATCTGGATGACTATTCTGGATGACAGGAAACTGATTTTCTCCAACATATTAGTACCATGTTGCTGTAATATGAATGGAGACACTGGAATTTTATTACCATGTAAATGAACATTGTTTCTCATTGAATTTGTCTAGTTATTGTTTTATTCTTTGTACTTCCCAAATGCTATTTATTTTGCTTAAACTCAAACAATAGCATACTGATATCCCCAAAGAAAACCTTGATTAAAGCATTTCTCTAACAAATTAGAATAGAACCCTGTTGTGCCTAAGGAAAACCAGTGAAGTAATACTTGAATTCAGCAAAAGTTTTGAATTTTATACTATAAGAATATGTAGTTCTATTGTTGAGGGTGGTTATTGATTTCTTCCAGAAAACCCTCCTTAAAAACTATGATATGGCTTTAAATGACAGAATTTCTATCACATAGAATCTTACCTACAATGACTTACTACAATCTTACTACAATGACTAGTCAGTGTCTTGTTCCTTAAACTTGCATGGTTTAATATTACAGAAAGGATGAGTGCAGATTCTGTTGGTAAACACTTGCTCTTTTCAGTAAAGATGTGTGGCTCGATTTTACACAAAAAACAGAATAAATAAGAAAATGAAGTATCAAAAATGTTACTTTGAATTTCAAATGGACATTAGTGAATTAGCTCTAGAAAGCCATGTAGTTTTGATTGCTATATTAAAATGCAATATTATGAGAAATACCTATGTTTGTAATAAAAATATCAACATTTCCCAACACTACATTAAATGCCTAATACATATTTTATTGGAAATATCTTGGAAATATAAGCAATGCCAAATAAAAACACAATGTTTTTCTATAAGAGCTGACCAAAGACATAGAGATTTACATCGACTATTAATTTTAATAAAACTTAAAAAATGTGTTTGTTAGAAATCAGATTTTCTTAAGAATTCTTCCATTGACTCTTACCTCCTTCTTCCTCAAACTTTAGATAATGGGATTCAGCATGAAAATGACAATGGTGCAGAATATAGATACACCATGTCATTCATGCTCTGGGCTACAGTTTGAACTCAGTCTCACATATTTGAAGAAGATCATCCCATGATCAGTGTAAATTTCAGTTAAGTGTGAGACAGGGGTAGACAAAACTTTTGTCCTCCTTTTGGCAGAATGCATCCTCAGACTGGCCAGAAGGATGAAGCCTTGTCAAATCAAGACAATCAGGACAATGACCTGTAGCTTGGCATAACTGATGCCATCTTGAACCATGATTTAACTAGTGCCCCGTATTTGACCAAGGAAAATGAAAAGTTACTCAGGGTACAAGTCAAATGAGAGAAGAACAATGAGCTGCACCCTCAGAAGAAAAATTAAGCTGCTCAACAAAGAAGTAGGATACAGATGTCAACCAAAAATTAATGTAAGATTCTAGCTAAACTGTTTCCACAGGATGTCCTTTTTTGGTTGAAGAAGATCATCCATGATCAGTGGAAATTTCGGTTAAGTGGGAGATAGGGGTAGGGAACACTTTTCTTCACTTTTTGGGAGAATGCATCCTTAGAATGGCCAGCAGGATGAAGCCAGCCACCATCTAACATGCCACCATGCCTCCAACATAGGAAGATGATTTTTGTGATTTTAAAATCTCTATAATTTTCCAGCTCAGGGCCACTTGATGAAACTCAGAAACAAGGTCTCTACATAAATGATCTCTGAGCTCAGCTAATTAAATATCAATTTTATCAATTAGGTTGTTTGGATTCCTATATTGCTCACAAACTCACTTCATTACAGTATCAATAGTGCACACCAAGTAGGAGAGTAGAAGCTGGTTCATGTGAATGTAGAACAAAAGGTGCTGTGGAGAGAAGTAACATCATTGGAGACACAAAATTACAGGCTAAACTTAACCAGGATGTACCATGGCATCTAACATGCTACCAACTTAGGAAGCAGAGAAGAGCAGCACATAGACCCTGGCTTTCATGCTTGCAGAATCAAGGAGCAGTTGTAGATTGCTACATAGTAGTCATAAGCCACAGCCACCAAAAGAAAACATTCTGTGGTTTCCAAAGAAACGAACAGAAGCATTTGTGTTGTAC